GCTTCGCCATAAATAATATAAAATTTAAATTATTTCATTTATTTATTTATTTTCACTATGCACTGCCGCGACCGTACCAAAAAAATAATGGAAAATCTAAACTGTACAGCCGTACGGCTATACTCCATAAATAGATATTTTATAGGGAGTTTCACTAAAACACCCAAAATGGGGGTTGAAATTATAAAAAAACCCAACACCCAAAACACTTTATAAACACACTCAAAACCCATCATTACACACACTCAAAACCCATTTATAAACACACCCAAAAAATATACAATTGTTGATTTTGGGTGTGTTTCTATGTTTAAATAGTGCTTGGGTTTTTTTATAAATACATGTCTAGGATTGAGTTTATTTATAAATTTGTATATTTTATAAGTATACCCGCGCGACTATACTCTATGAGTTAAATATTTTAACTGTATAGCCGGGTGGCTATCCTCTTTAAACAGAAATTTTAAACGCAAACCCGAACGGCTGTACTCCATAAATAGATTTTTTATAGGTATAGCCGGTCGGCTATACACTATGAGTATAATATTTTGACCGTATAGCCGCGCAGCTATACGCTTTAAAAATTAGCTTCTTTACTTTTTGTTTTTTTGCCAACTTCTTTAATTTAATATATGTAATTAACTAATATCTTAGTCTTTTTTAATTCCTTTAATTAGTAATTATGTTTTAATTATTTTTTCTTTAGTGAATATTTAAATATTTTGCTAATTTAATAAATTACTAAATAAATAGTAATTAATTATTTTATACAAAATTAGTTTGAGAAAATCCAAGTCTCGAACCAAAAACCCTAGCTTCCAAACTTGTTCCAAAACCTTTCTCAAGCCTCAAACCCTATCCATAAACCTATTATGTTTTAATTACTATTTACTAAGTGAATAATTAGTATTTAAATATTTTATTTATTAAAAAAATTACTATTTATCAAGTAATATAATTTATGAAATTAATTAAAATATTTATTTAATAATTATTCATTAAAGAAATAATAATTAAAATATAATTACTAATGAAAGTCATTAAATAAGGCTAAAATATTATGTAATTACTTAATGAACATACAGCCGCACGGCTATACACTATAAATAGAAATTTTAAAAGTAATGCCACGTGGCTATACTACATTTTAATTTTAATTCTTAAGTATAGTATCGCCTCGAGGCTGTACTGTTTTTAACTTTTATTTTCAAGTATAGCTGCGCGGCTATGCGGTTTAAATGTATTCGAATATTTAAATAGTATAGCCGCTCGACTATACTAATTTTTTTATTTTATTTTTAAGTATAGCCTGGCGGGTATACTTTTTAAATGTATATATGTATACCAAGTCTCTTTTCCTTTCCCGCCTTATTCTCTTCTCTCTTCGCTCTCTCCTAAACGACATGTTCACCTCACCATAGCAACGACAACAATGACAATTCCTCCCTTTACCAACTCCACAAATTCCAGCTCAAGATCGCTCACTTAGGATTGGATTGGATAAGTCACTAAATCTAAGGTATTGTGAAGGAGGAAATGAAAGTATATGTGAATGATTTTCCATTTTGGGGGGATTGGAGCATCTACAATCATACTCTCTATTTTTCAATTAAAATTTATCTAAAAACACACAAAAGCTATTATAGGAGCTTTCTATAAAATTTGAACTTCAATCGTACTCCCTAGTTTAGAGTTATAAATACTATAATTTATTTTTAATTCAATATAATTGGTTCATCTCTATAAAAAAATATATATATATATAGTTAGTATTAATTAAAAGTTAAAAATATGCATGAAACAAAACAGTATTAAATTATAGGGAGCCACTAGGGGTCCTTAAAGAGCCCATTGTAAATGCTCTTAGAACGAATTAATTATAAAGTGTTGCTATAATTTAAATCTGAAGAGCCCAAGGCCCATCTTTTTAATAATTATATATTATATATTATAACAGAGACAATAAAGTAGAACTTTAAAAAAAAATTACAATAACAATCACATTGATTTCTAAAAATAAAAATAAAATATGAAACATAAAATATAAGGTTATAAGATAAATTGAATATATCGAACGTTAGGTTCTAAGATAAATTTAATTTATAGAATTACATGTTCTAAATTGAAGATATTCGTAAATTTCTATTGAACTTCGGGTTCTAGCGAGTCATATAAATAAAACTTATGGCTATAAACTGAATTTGATCTTGAACATCAGGTTCAAAAAAATCAAATAAAAGTATTGATTTTAATAAAAATATGTTCAAAACTAAATGATGAATCAAAGGTATTTCAAGCTCAATTTGATAGCAATAGCACAGATATGGTAATTGAAGAACTTCGGGTTCCAATTAGATTGTGTGATATAGAACTACAGGTTCTAATCAAATATAAGATTAATAAAAACTAAGAACCAATGAACTTGAAAGTTCCAATCTTTTGATTCCACTGTGGAAACCAAGATAAAGATAAAACAAAACAAAAAAAACTTTTGATTTTGAACTTCAGGTTTGATTAACATTTTATGTATGTTATGCTAGAACTGTAGGTTCTTGACAGGATATGAACTACTGGTTCATATTAATATTAATCTCAATAGACAATTATGAACTTTGGATATATATTAACATATATCTAACGCTTCAAGTTCGGGTGCATATATCAAATTAAAAAGAATATATGGTTTTGAACTACAGGTCCAAATTTGTAGTAATATGATATTGTTCAAGGTAATAAAATAAAACGATAATAAATTTTTTTAAAAAAATAGTAGACATGAAATCCAAATAATGTTGGAACTTCAGGTTCTTAACATGATGTATATTTTTTAGCCCAAAATCATAATAAATATGCACTTGTTGAAATATTGATTTGGAGGTTGACACAATTAGAACTTCAGACCTGTTTTAATGCACATGTGGCCGAAACTTATTGTTTGCATTATACATAATAAGAACTCCGGGTTCTAAGATATTTGAACTTTTAGTCATATGAGGAACTTCATGTCCTAAAATATAAATTATTGAAATGAAAATAACTGAATATAACAATAATAATTAAAATACTAGAATAAAATAAATTGTTGGAACTTTTGGTTCCAAGTTAGAGAAAAATCAAAGAACACCTAGTCAGGATTTGTTTTATGAGAATTACGGAACTCCAAGTCATTGTATAGATATTATATGGATTGAGAACTAAGAGACTTCAGGTCTTTGTTTAATTGTATAATTTAGGGACTTCGAGTCCTTGCATAAAATAAAAATGAAACTAAAGAAAACAATTAAGTAAAAATAAAATACAACAAAAAAAATATTGTAATAAAATAAATTGTTGAAACTTCTGGTTCCAATGAAAAATGAATCAAAGACCTGTGCTTCAGGTCTTCATTTTCCTTTTAAGAATTTGAGAACTTCAAGTCCACAAATATTTATATTATAAGGATTGAAATATAAGGATCTTCTGGTCCTTACATGACTGAATAAGAACTAAGGAAATTCTAGTTCTCCATTAATTGTATAAGAATTTAACATCTTCAGTCAAATGTATAAGAGATGGGATCTAGATCTTCAGGTCTTGATTTCTCCTTGCATTTTTCTTTGTATTGTTGTCTCTGCAGTCATAAGAATTAGATATTGTAATTCATATCACATTGATAAGTGATAGAATACAAAATCTTGATTTTAACTAAAATCATGATTCTCTTACAAAAAAACAAAAGGAAAATATAATTTCAATACTTAGGTAAGATAAGAACATGCATATCAACGTAGTAATAGAAATTCAAATAAGAAACTTATCTATTTGGAATTCAATATTCATCTCGATTAGCTTTCTTCTTGTTACCACTGATCACTTACATAATTGACAAGTTCATTGGTGCTTGAAGAGTAATCATGCTGATAATGTGTTATATAACTAAGAGAAAATTATAGAGAGAATTAGAAAGTAGAGAAAGACAATTGAATTTGTGTCAATCAACTTCTATATCTCCTCATTTTCATCTATGAGAGAGCCACATACATATTTATAGGCTTACAAAATAGGAGTTTAGAGCATCTCCAAGGGAGATGTTAAATACCAAACATCAAATTTAAATTTGATGGCTGATGTGGCAATTTGACATTTACACAATTTTACACTCCACCCGATATGTCAAATAAATAATTATTGTAACAGTCAAATTATTTAAGATAAAGAAGAAAAAAATTAAAAAAAGAAAATAATAAATAAAAGTAACAACCAGCTGTCTTTAAAAACTAATAAAATATTCATTTGACATCTTGCTTTTGGGATGTCAAAAATAACATCTCAACCTCCAGCCTTCATTACTTCATTCCACATCGGTTGGAATGATGTGAGATGTTATTTCTAGCTGTTAAATGTCTATGTGGCACTTTTGACACATTGGTTGAAGATACTCTTAAAGTACTACATCCACCAACTCATACATTTACAACATCTATATAATATTTGGCATTTGAAGCCCAATTGGCTTCTACTTGGCCCAACTTCCAATTACTAAATGTGGGACTACCACACTTATAAAGACTTCACTTTTTCTTCTTTCTACCAATGTGGGACAAAAGTTCGTGAACTTCATTCAAACTTCCAACAATTCCTTAAACATATGCTTTAAATATAAGGAGTTTTCTAATCCAACACTAATCATCAAACGAGACCTAACAACTAGTTCAAACCTCAACTAGTTAAATATATAGTTTAGTTGGACATTATTTTTTTCCACCATTCAAATTTTCTTGTCGACTTCTAGAATCAAATTGAAAAATTATTACATTTTTTAAATTAGTATTACTTAAGAGTGACACGTTGGTAGTATAAACATATTATATCAATTCATATTAACACTTTGGTTCAATCATTTTTTTTCATAAGCAAACGGTCTAACGAGTCTTTTTGGTCAACCCGCAATTGAAATGAAGGTCAGACCAACATGTTATTTCTAAAAATTTTAAATAAAAAAAAATTGGCCGGTTAAACCCTGTCTAGTTCTCCGATTGAATTCCTGATAAACCCAAGTGGCTAAGGCTGTGTAATTACAAGCCTCAAACTCAGAGCGAGCGCGCCAGCTATGGCCATCCTCGCTCTCCCTCTAGTCATCTCCTTTCTCAAGCCCCACACTTCCCGTCACTTTCTCCTCCGCCCCGGCAGGCCCAATCCTACCCATCTCTGCAACCCACTAGGCTACTGCCGCCGCTTCACCAAAACCAGCGTCTCTGCAATTAGCACCTCTGCTGCTCAGCATGACTCTTCTACGAACCCAATTAGTGTTCCCCAGAAAGCCTCTGTCCTCACTTTCCAACAAGCCATTCAACGCCTCCAGGTCGCACTCTTCAACCAAAACTCGTTGCATTTTACTCTGCATTGATACTTTCTGTATATATGTATACATATGTGTTTTTGTGTGTGTAATTACTTGATTCTTATGTTGGTAATCTTAGTTTTTCTCATATTTTCATATTCCATTGAAGCCATTCATTTTTATGTTATAGGAATATTGGGCTTCGGTTGGATGTGCCATAATGCAATGTAGCAACACAGAGGTAATGATTAGTGTTTTTGCTCCTTTTTTCTTTTCTTTTGAGGGTATGTGCAATAACTTCTTTTGGACAGCGAGGAAAAGTCCGTGGTATCCATTATTTGTTGGAGAAACTTGTGCTGCAAAACATGATTTAATGTGCTAAATAAAAACACATCTACATGTTGCCCTTATAGTTGTTTAGATGGTTTTAGGCATTAAGCATCTTAGTTTCTTTGCTTATCCAAAATTGATGTCCATTGCATATTTGTCTTACTGTGGCTCTGGCTATTGATCAGGTTGGAGCTGGGACTATGAATCCCTTGACATTCTTAAGGGTTCTTGGTCCAGAACCGTGGAATGTTGCGTAAGTATGCGTAAGTTTGTAAATTTACTACAGTAATATATTCAGAGACTAGATGTGAAGGGTTATCACTGGTTGTAGTCTATTTATTACATTGTCTTGAGTCTGCTGTTGCCCTTTACCAACTTTACCTTATAGATTTAGAGTGTTACCTATCCACCCATATAAACCCTATGTTCAATCCTGGCCTTGTTCTTAACATTCCCCCCCGCTCAAACACACAATGCCCTCGTCATGGTTGGACCCCTGCCTACCCATTCTATTGGTGGGGGATCAACTATTCATGTGGACCCAATCTCTTCAGACGATTGGCTCAATATTGGATAAGGAACTAGCCATGTTATGATATTAATGTCACAGGTTGGGAGCCTGCTAAGTGATGGGTGCCAACCCACCCATATAAACCCCATACTGAAGCCAATTCCTATCTGATGTTCTTGTCCATGTCATTTGTTCTTCTTTTGTATTACATTTTTTAATGACTACCACATAGAGCAGCTGGTCCTTTAAGGTTCTTTATTGTGACTACCAATGTGGACTTCTTAATGATAGGTATGTGGAGCCTAGTATTCGACCAGATGATAGTCGTTATGGCGAAAACCCAAACAGGCTCCAGAAACACACTCAATTTCAGGTTAAGTTTGATTTTTTTAATTATTATTTATTATAAAAGCAAGTTATGCAATTTTGAATGGCAAATGGTTCTACTCCTTTTGGTACAAATCTTTTAGATTACAAGTTCTTTTGCACTTTGTCTTTCTATCTATCTCAGGTTATATTGAAGCCTGACCCTGGAAACTCACAAGACCTTTTCATCCGCAGCTTATCAGCTTTAGGTAGTCAACAAGCATCTTTTTCTTTGAACCATGCAAATAAACCACGTATACATGTATACGCATTTGTGCAGACACACATCTGTAAGAAGTTTGTGCATTGTGAGTCCGTTCAAGTAATGGAAAGTGGCCTTGCATACTTGAGTATTTTCGCATATGCTCTAGTATATCTTACCATAAATTTCAACCTTCAGTTTTCCAGGTAGATAGTCAAAATGATTTAATATGTGTAGTGTGCTGAAAATAATGAGCACCATCCCAATCTGCGCCTTCTGTTTACATGCACAGTTTATATATTTTTTAGGGGCTGCCCATTGCATACCCCCTTTAACTTGGCTTGTGATATTTTTACTTCCTAACAAAAGGGAAACAGAAAAGAAAATTAACAATCAGATTCAACAAAGAAAATGGAAGGAAACAGTTGTTGGATGTTGTGTCATTCATTGACAAGATGTGCAGATCATACTTACAGAAAAAGGAGAGGAAAGACTATAAAGATTTCATCCATATAAAAGAATTTATGGCATTTGTTTCCTGTTCAATTTCAACCATTCAAGTTCTGCCATTAGCATTTAATGTTTTATGCTTTACAGGTATTGATGTTTGTGCACATGATATACGATTTGTGGAGGACAACTGGGAGAGTCCGGTAGTATTCTATTAATTGGTGCACTATCAATCTTTCATGTTATTTCAATGCAGTTTTGATTTGAGATGCAATTTAACTCGTTGTTTAGATTTCCTTGCAATTGATTTAGTTATGAACAAAGGAGTACAACATCTGTACTGCTTTTATTATAAAAACCTTTGTGCATGAAATAGATCATCTAGCCGAAATGTGATCCACTTACTGATCATATTTGCTTTTAGGTGCTTGGAGCTTGGGGTTTGGGTTGGGAAATCTGGATGGATGGGATGGAGATTACTCAGTTCACCTACTTTCAGCAGGTTTCTTCTTTTACATTGCACTGAAATATGATATGCATAATATAGGTTTAGTTATTGACTCTCTCTCTCTCTCTCTCTCTCTCTCTCT